AGAGAGAGAGAGAGAGAGAGAGAGAGAGAGAGAGAGAGAGAGAGAGAGAGAGAGAGAGAGAAAGAAAGAAGGGGAGTGAGTTTAGGATCTTTGAAAATGGTTTTCACTTGGAAGGATGCCTCGTGCAAGATAATTGGAATAACATCATGTCTGGAAATTTGATTGATTAAATTCAACGAAAAATGACGTTATTCTGTAATTGTCTTTCATATTTTTCTTTTTCCCGAACATAAATTCCAATGTATTAGTATCGACGTTTAAAAAAAAAATAGTTTTTGAAGTGGTTATTCTTTTTTGGCGAGTATTCGAGCGATTTAGTGATCATTTTCTAACGAGAAAGAAGATAAGTTCCTGTTCACCACCACGAGGACGAGGGCGAGGGCGACTATCAGTGACCTCTGGCGATAAAACGATCATGACTGTTTGGAAAAGAGGGTTGAACGCGTGTATGCTGAAACATTAGCGTGAATCGGTCTCTCTCTCTCTTTCTCTCTCTCTTTCTCGTTCTCTTTCTCTATCTTTTTCTTTCTTGATTATACGATCCGGTTCGATGGTAAAAAATCAACGGAGCTCACCCTTCTTCGCTTTGGTCATTTATTGAGACCACCGGTCTGTCCGACCTCACCGAACAGCAAAACCTCCTCGTTCTTCCCTCTGACCCTCTTACGCCCTCTGATTCTTGTCGGTCGATAGACCCGACTCACAACGTACCTTCTCCATTCTCTCTCTCTCTCTCTCTCTCTCTCTTTTTCATTACCTCTTTTCTCTCGCCCCTCTCTTTCTCTTTCTCACTGTTTAACATGCTCTTTCTTTCCTTCTATCTTTTTCTTTATTTGTGTCATGATTTCGAGTTCTTCGAAATATGTTTGCTTAAGTATTAACTTTCATTGGCGTCAATGAAATCGCCATTTCGTGTGTACAGGCTTGGCCAAAAGGTTAGATATATAATTTACACGTTAACAGCTTGTTTGCATCCAGAACGATTATGTATGTACTTACCTACTTCATTCAAAGATACTTACCTATAACCCAAACAAATTTAGAACTGGCAATCGAAAACTTTCGACATTAATGAAATTAAACTGTCTCGGGTTTACCTTACTCTCCTCGTTTCGCGATAAATTCGAAAAAATCATCACTCAAATACAATCTCATCTCAATCTAGTTCAGTTTAGTTTGACCTTATTCTTCCTCCGTTGTTAATCATTTAATCGTAGCTACAAAACGTCGTCGGTTCCGAACGAAAATATTATAAAATTGACGGTCGTGAGATTAACTACGATATAAGAGAGAAAAATTAAGTTCATGATAGCTTGATCCATTATAAACGGGTAACGTTTTATCCTCACAATGATCAATTCTACGTGGGAGCCAGGAAACAAGAGTTTCCTGTACTTGTTCAAGAATCCGAGATATCTCGAATGAATTTCTTTGATCGTCCCGCGAATTTCATTTAACCGACTGGTCAACCCACGTTTTTCTTTCGTTACTCTAACGTAAAGGTCTATATCTTGGATAAAGAACGAAAAGTTCAGGGTGATTGGTGGGCTGTCGTCATCATCTACGTCGCCATTGTCGTTGTCGTCATCGTCGTCATTGTCGTGTGGTCGTTGTCGTTGCGACATAGGGTTGCTTTCGTCGTTAAGGGGAATGGACGAGTTGGCGACATCGTGTCTACTCGTCCGTTCTTACCTTGACGATTCCTTGTGTCTCAGGGTGACGACCCCAATGGGGAGCTTTTCTCCCCTTTTCTACTTCGACTCTATTATTTATGTGGGAAAAAGAAACCGCGAATAGAACGAAAAAGAACATAGAACAAAACTTATCGAGGGAGTTAGTTAGCCGCACCGTTTAAAAATGAATCGTTCGATATTACGAAGGGTGTATCCCTTTAAAATAAACCTTTTAGTAGTAACCCTCTTCGTTAACATGACAATCGAATTGCTTGTTTCCTGTGTCTCTGTTACAACGTTAAAACCCGAAACGTATATCGTTTTCTCTTGGCTTGATCTTTTTTGTTTTCATGGCCCATCCTTTTCTTTTTGCTCTTCTATTTCTCTTTCACGTTTTGTTGCAAGTGTTTAAGTTTATCCTTAAATAATGTTCAAAGTTTCTCGTCATTTATGATTTAACCATCAGTTAATCAAGTACATCTATTACTATCGCAAAACTTTGAAAATTTTTCTATTAATATCAAATATAAACTCTCAAGAGAGAGAGAGAGAGAGTACTTTCAATTACTTTTTCATACAAATAATTTTCTTTTGGTATATAAATAATGCATTAATGTATTCAACAAATATATTTCATTTTTTCATATTCAAATTTTCAAAAAAAAAAGAAATGTACGTAAGTACATACACATTTACATACGTACATACGTACCGATACGAGTAACAATAAAAATATTGACTTCATTAATTCTTTAATCGATTCAATTGTTAGATTATCGTAAGGTAAAAAAATGGCAAAGAAAAGATAGAGAGAGAGAGAGAGAGAGAGAGATTCATGAAATCTCTACACGATGTTCGTCGATAGTTAAAGCTTTTTAAGAAAAAACGAGATTATGGAAAAGAGAAAATACATCCAATATCTTCTCTATCATATTCGTAGATGAAAAAGGAGACCGATCGCATCCCGGTGAACTTCGCGAGGATCTAGTTCGTGTGAATGGCACTAAGTCGAGGAAAAAGGACGACGAGACACGACAAACAATTCTAAATCCAGCCACGTGATATAATCCTATCTTCGTCCTTCCTTTTAATCTTTCACTATCCTCCCTTTTTCCATGTCTTTCTCTCCCTTTTAATATTTGTTTCTATCACTCTCACAGTCTTTCCAGTTTCTCCCTTGAACTGTGCTTCACTGAACATTAGTGATCAAACAAGAGGATAGATAGTAGATTCTTCGAAAAGAAATACGAGAATAGAATAAAAATAAAAAGAAAATTCAATTGAAATAATCATAGTATTAAAATCTTACCGATAAACGGCAAAATAAGTGTTATTATCAACATTCGAGATAGAGAAAGCAAAGGATGGCGATAAAGGGTCGCGAAATTAAAAGAGAGAGACGACGTGGCTTTGAATTCTTTTACCTTCCTCGTCTCGATGTTGGCAATTACGTGCGAAGCAAGACGACAGTAAGATCTTATTGCAAGTTTGTCCGATCGATCGAGACCGGCACCAACGAAATCGGCTACAACGGCGGCACCAGAAACGGCGGAATCAACGATAGCAACGGCTTCAACTGCGCTTATACCTCTTCGATCAGTGGTATTATCAAAGACAACAAAAATAACGAAAACAACAACAGCAACAACAACAACAACATCAACATCAACAACTTCTATTTCTTCTGCGGAAGCGGTTACACCAACTGAGAGAGATCAACGGACTAGATTCCTCGTATGCTCTCTCTTTGCCTCTATTCCTCGCACGATTCGTGACAAACGTAAGTCCCTACATCACCCTTTTCTTCCTCTATCTCTATTTTTATCCATCTATCCTTATTTCTGATATGTATATATTTTATTATGAAAGACCGAAATTGAAGAATGTCAAGATTCACATGGCTAAATGTCAACGCATACCAAATACATCGGTGAAAGATTGAATATTTGGGTTTATTCTTATGCATTAATATTGCGGACATACACCACAAGCGACCATGTGAATCTTGACATTCTCCAATTTCTGTGTTTCACGGTGGTAACACATATACTCTCATTTTGAAACTTTTCAATCCTTTTATCCTAGCTATTTCTTTATTTCTTTGACTCGATCATTTATCTTGATTTAAACTGTCGATTTTATACCACCCAAGAGATTCTAATATCTTAAAGTTCCCCTTGGAGTAGGATTATTTTCTATCATAGAATTTTGTATTTTAGAAAATCCTGATATTAGGAAGCTCACTCGAGGAAGATTATTTTTTATCATCAAAATTTTATATCCCAGATAATCTTTGCGTCGAAAAGCTTACCCCACTGGTAGAAAGATTTTTCTTTTTATTTTACATTTCGTTAAATCCCTACAAATCTTTCGTTTCAATTTTTTCGTTTATACGTAATTTTTTTTTTTTGATTGAAATTAATATATATATATATCTTTCTTTTCTTTTGTTAGAATTCTCTCTCTTTCTCATTTTCATTTGAGCGGGTAAGTGTAAGTACGATATCCCTCCAGTTTCATAAGGCAGTGTTAATGCTCTTTAACGCGTCATCCTTCCGGTGACGTACAGCTGCTCGTTGCTCGTTGACCGAACACGACTGAACGGAAGTACGATGAGAAAGGAAATAGTGTTTCGTGACGTTCTCCATGTCGAATGACGTAAATGAAAAGAAAAAGGGGAAAGAAAAAGAAGAAGAAGAAAAATCAGACGGAGAAAGCGTGTGAGAGAGAGAGAGAGAGAGAGAGAGAGAGAGAGAGAGAGAAAGAAAAGTCTTATAAAACGAGTTCAAGTTTTCTTCACTACGTCAGATTTATGGCAAAAGAAACATCTCATATAAAACGAGTTCAAGTCATTTTTCTTGTCCTTCCTCTTCTATTTCTTTTCATCTCGAGCTAAGCAAATACTTTCTCCTTCAGATTTGTTTATGGATTATTAAAAGTAAATGAAAAAAAAAAAAAAGAAAAAAAATAAATAATAATAAAAATTAATCGTTTATATATTCTTTGAACTCATTTTTCAGAATCGTTCGTGTCGCTAAGTTACGTCAGAGTTTGCATACACGTTTGATGTGGTTGGCTGCAATTTTGCAGCTGACTCTCTTTCCGTCACGGCAGAAAATTTTCTCGACGATAATGTATAATTTAGGATCGACAGTCTGGTTTTAACAATTTTGATAACTCTCGAGAAATGTCAAGGGAGTCTTCAATGAAACTTGATAACGTTCGTTTGATGCCTTTTACGAAAGAAAAGATAAAAAAAAAATAAAAAACAATATAAAAAGAAAACCTAGAAAAGATGAACTAGTTTAAATAGATCTACTATCCCTGCGATAACGATTAAATTAATGTTTTTATTTATGTTACATCTTTGAAACGAAATACACGTGTTTTTGATAAATGAAATTTGGAAAATTTCAATATAAAAAAGAAAGAGATGTTAGTTGTATTTTTGAAAGAGATACATTGAAATTTTACGGATGACATTCAATCGCGAGTTATTTTCTTTAACGGTTACGTCAGAATTAAAAGAATTTTTGGTAGAAAATGATTAGTCATAGGTCGAGAGACTATTTTTACAAACGATGACTGCTCTAGCACGTAGTATCACTTTGTAAACTCATTCTCTTTCTCTTTTCCAAATAATTCTAATGCCGATGTTTCTTTTTTGAAATGCCGAAGGCTAGAATATCTGAGCCGAGCTGAGCCGATACAAAAGGTGGTAAGAGTTGACAAAGAGGCGTGATTATCGATCCGTCAAGTTAACAAGTACTACCGAACGATCTTATTTTCTGCTTTCGTTTCATTGCAATTCTATGGAGAAAAAAAAAAAAAGAAAAAAAAAGCTTCGTGTTCGGTCTTTGTTCAAAGTACGTGTCCAATTACATTGGACAATTTCTACAATTTTTTCCCCAATGAATTTCTCTCGCTCTTTCTCTCTCTTTTATTTAACAAATTTAACAAATAAATTCGAAAGAAAAAATATCGGGAAAAGAAATGAAAATTCATTGACACGTTCATGAGCCCTAATTCTTTGTCCTTTGCAGATGATGCAATATTAAAGTACATCTCTTTTGTTATTAATTATTACATATCTTTGTCTTCCGTCTAATAAAATCTAATTGGCCAAGAAGAGATTGGCTCTAATCATGTTACGAAAAGTCGATAATCAAGATAGGTTTCTCGATAGAAGCGATACACGCGGTACAGTTAAGAAACCTTAGGAAGGCCTTGACATATGTTCTCGTTTACTTATGTTAGCTCTTTCTTATGCTCGGGAACATTTAAATAGTACAAAATACGAGTTATCGACCATGTCCTAGACATTTCTTGTGGTACCTCATTAGAAGGGCGTGATTTTCAATACCATTTATTATCTACTTGGATCAACAAATACTATACGAATAAATCTATTTTATTTATGTCATTAACCCAAGTAATATGACCATTAAATAGATTTACTCTTTCGGCTTCTTTTTTTGTCAATTTTTCTAGAAACAATAGCCAAATATTATTTTATTGCTTGTAGTATCATCTTGTACAATTTGTTTGTTCTTTTTTCTAGGACTAATATTATATATATATTTGGTTTTTTATTTGCAGAAATACAGAGGACGAGTTTATCTCGCAGGATGGATTCGTGCGGGATCTACTTGTCTCAGCTACGAGCAATGCTCGTGAGAAATCTTCTGCTGAAGAAACGTGAAAAGCGGAAGACCACCGCGGTACGTTTATCATATAAATATATTTCATTCTATTTTTTGCTTTTTGTGAATTATTATTATTATTTTTATATTTATATATTTATTCTCTCCCGCCCCCTCCCCCAAGAAAATAGATGTTTCAAATTATATCGTAGATTTATTCGATTCTTCATACATTCTCAAATATTCATTTGCAAATATCGTTCCAATGGAAGAGTAATTAATTATAGGTACGAGGAAACATGAAATTATTCATGAATTTAATCAACGAAATATTTCTAATTCTTGGTATTGATAAACATGAATAAAACATAAGTTTGTAAAGTGTGGTTAGTAAAACTAAGCTTTGCTATTTTGATCAATGATTAAATGAATAGAGAGATCCGCTTATGCGTTTGCACTTGTTAATAGCTTATGCACGTGGATTAACTGTACGCATTGATACTAGTAAATACGATAATGACAAAGGAATGTTATAACATCCGATGAGACTATAACGTCATGTTGTATAATCAATCTACTTGAAAAAGTATCATGTGTTTCTTTTCAACGACGTTAAATTCGATACATATGTATCAACGACGAAACGTATAACGTATCCATCATTTAATACGGAGTAATAAACTAAAATGAAACAGATCTGGCAAAAAAAAAAAAAAGGAAAGAAAGATTTTTTTCCCCGACGAAAACTTCACGTTTAACGCACGCGATGTATCACTGTCCTTCTTCTTGTGATATATTGAGCAGAAAAGAATTTGAAAATCGTGTTAATTTTCGGTAGGGTTGTTTGGTCAGTGGCGCGTGTGTTTTGTGTGACACAATTTCATTTTCCTATGAAAAAAGAAATGGAACAGGAGGGGGGGGGGGTAAAGTAATAGGTAAAAAGATGGGTAACGATTTGGCAAACGTTATCGAATAATCGAATGATTGTTCAACGAATGAATCGTTTAAATTTTGACGAAAATAACGAGTCATTTGGTTTATGTCTATTTAGGATTTCTTTTATTTTATCGATTATATGGATGAATATTAGGACAAATAGAATCAATAATTATTCTCGTCTGTATATCAAAGCTTTTTCAATATCACCAACATTGATCGACTGTGTAGTTCGGCGTGTAGTTTATTCGTTTAAGATACGTACATTTATACTTTACTCTCCCACGTTGATCACTCTCGGTAGGATCCTGTTTGGAAATACAAATATTCATATATGTATACACGTTTTTACACACACACACACACAGCAGCAGCAGATATATGTATATATGTTGCACGTATACACAAATTGTAGAAACACAGCGTGCTCTTGTTCCGGCGATTAAAGCGTCAGCTCGAAATTGGAACTTGAAATAAAATAAATGTTCAGGCGAGGGGGGGGGGATAAGCAGGAAAAATCAATGATATTTCACGGATTATTTTTAACGGGAGAATCATCATCATCAGCGAGGATTGTTCACGAATCAAAAATGTTGAAAAAAGAGGTAATGAAAATCTATAATGAAGAGATGAAAGCATGAAACAGAGAGAGAAAGAGAGAGAGAAAAAAGAATGACCGTGTTGGTTCGTGCCACGTCAAATTTTCTGCTTAGGAAATTCGCGAGGAGTACGAAAATAGAGGAACATCGAAGATCGATGGTAGAGCCTGGATATACTTACGATACCATGTATAAAGAAAAAGATCGATTGAAATTTTACATGCACCCTGTATTAACTTTGACTTGTTGAGAATAATTAATGAAAGTATTGTATTAAACTATGACGAAATAAACCAATATTTTTGTATTTCTTGTTAAAGAAAGAAAAATTCGTTCTACTTGAAAGCCTTTAACACAGTTATTCTCTTATCTTTCTCTTTCTGATCACGAATATTCTCTAACGATCGATATTGACGAAGAATGGAAAATGGATAAGTATAAGAATAATAATAACAATAATAATAATAATAAAAAAAATAATAATAATAAGAAGAAGAAGAAGAAGAAATAAGGAAAAAGAATAAAGGAATATGCGTTAGGAGTGCCAAAGGATTTGTCCGCAATAGGAAGTGAAGTCTCTCTCACTATGTGAGTTTGGAACAAGCGGTAAAAAGAAATAAAAAGTTTTAGATAGGTTTGTTCTATGGCGACGAAACGACTGCGTTTCACGGTTAGCCGCAGTAGCCAAGTACGAAACGACGGCGTGCTGCCAGTCGCAGCAGTGCGCTGCCATTTTTGCGTGCGTACCGTGCCAACTGGGCCAAGGGTCGAAGAGGAGAAGAAGAAGAAGAAGAAGAAGAGAAGAATCGTTTATTGCTGCTCTGCTGTTAGTACTAGCAGTACTACTACTAGTAATAGTAGTAGTAGCAGTAATAGTGGATGGTAAAAGGGTAGATGGATTTAAAGTAAAGCTTCCATTTTCAAATTTTTCCTTTTGCTTTTATTTTTCTTCCATTTTTATCTTCTTCTTCTTCTTCCTTTTTCCATTTTATTTTTCGTCCTAAGTTAGATTTTATTTTTCTAGATCAACCATGACACAATAGAAGGGAATAGAAAAAAACAGGGCAGATATTATATTTTGGCTCGAACAACGCATGATCGATAATATTCTCTTTCTATCTTACAACGATATTATCGAAAAAAAAAAAGAAAAAAAGAAAGTATATAAAACTGTATCGATGCTAATACGAGTTCGAATATATAAATAACGTTAAGAATTTTATTAACTTTCTTCTAGGTCGTTAGAAAATTTTGTATTCGATAAAACAAATATCGTTGATCGTTAAATTCTTTTCGCAATCATTTTAATACGCGTTCCAATTCCTTTTAAAATATTCGACGATGATTTAAGGATCGAGTTAACGAGCTTATCCGTAATAACGCGCATTAAATAACAACCGAGGAAAGTAAAATAGAGATAAAGTGAAAAGGGGGAGGGAGAGAGAGAGAGAGAGAGAGAGAGAGGAAGAGATCGTGTGCCAATTCAATTTCAATATCTACATATATACCAATGATATAGCTATTGCTATTCTCTCGAAAGTTATTGATAACATCGAAAGCTTTCCATTGCTCTCTCTCTCTCTCTCCCTCTCTCTCGTATTTGGAGAAATTATCTTCGACGTAGGAAAAAAAAAACCCGAGGTGTTGATTTTTTCAAACGTCACCTTTTACTACAGTACCTCGATCCCCCATCCCATCCCATCCCACCCATCCCCTTTCCACCGTAGATATGATATTGCTTTCCATCTTCGTTCCTAAGACATTTTTACGCGTGCTCGATTCTTTTATTTTCTTTCGAGAGAAGACGTAGGCGTCGTGCATTTGATGGATCGCCAAGTGATCCTTCCTTCGATCTATTTTTTTCTCCCTCTCTCTCTTCTGTTATTTTTGTCATTTCTTTTTTTTTTCTTTCCCTTTCGAAAGAATAGAAGAGAAAGATTTATTGGGATGATCAAGGAGGACAGCAAACCCATGGAAAAAAGATCACTTCTTTTTTGAATTCCTTAGCTTATTTTCCATATTCCTGAAAATGCTAGGATCTAGTAGATTGGTAGGACCATTGTTCCATAGATTAGTAGAAATTGTCTCGGTTGGTTCGACTGTGTTTGGCAAAAGATGAGGCCCGACCAAGAAATAGACTTGCTCGACCCAAGTTGGCAAAGGTAAACCAACGACGCAGCATTGCCAAACAGGCAAACCAAGATGGACCAACATCATACGAAAGTATTTGGTAAAATTGTCGGCCAGATGATACCATCTATCGGTAGTTTCCTGATGTAGCCAAATTTCGGGTGACTTTTGTTCAACTTTGCTTGGATATGCCAAGTACACTTTAGCGTCTATTGTTGTAGGAAAGCATCTAACTATCTCGAAGAGTTTCGAACCACGTGGATTAGTCGTGGTAATCTTCGAAGTACCAGGAACAACGTTCTCTGTACTTCCTACGAATATCTCGACTTCCGGTTCGATGTCGGTTCCTCTTTCACCCGAGACCAGACTCGTCATCGACGTCGTTGTGGTTGTCGTCGTTGTCGTTGTCGTTGCCGTTGTCGTTACACTTTGTTGTTGTCGATCCTTCCCAACACCGAGGTAACGTTTTAGAGACGACAGCTTGCCTATCTCCATTCGCCCTACCGGAAATTCTTCGCCTGTATACGAATGAGTGACTCGCTAATTCGATATCCCTCTTATCTCAAACAAGCAACAACTCGATGCTATTGATAATAGACAATTGACGCATACGATGTCCTTGAAAAATATATTCTTTAATACAATAATTAACATAAAAAAGCAATAGAAAGAAATGGGAAAGAAATAGAGAAAAGAAATATGTCAAATGAAAATAGTTGAAATGATCGAGTCTTTATCATAAGTATAAACGTCAAGTGGAAGATGCGTGATTGTTTCGAAGAAATATTTTACAACGAGACAGATATCTCATACGAGAATAGAAGAAAGAAAAAAAAAATATCCAAATACACATACCCGCTATCTCGAGATTCCACTGTAGTAGAAAACCATCGATCGAAGCATAGAAATTCTTTACGTCTTCTGGCAGCACGCAGCCGTGTCGTTGCTCCCAATTCGCAATGGCGTTTCGTTCGCAACCGTTACGCCTGTCTACGCGAACATTTTTAACGCATGGCAAATTGTCGAGTATCTTGACGACACCTAATGTTAAATTTTCGTAAAAGGAATCTTCGGGAACGGCGTCGACGAAAAATGACATCGTTTCACTGCGTTCGCGCGAATCCATCTTTGATTTTCTATTGTAAAACTGCGCCAGTTTTCTTTCCGACAGGATAACCGAGGTAGACGAAGAAGCTGGCTGGCTACTCGAAAATATCGCTTTCGTTTAACTTGTTTATCGTCATGGCAACAGTATAACAAAGCCGAACACACGGTGCTTTCCTATTCACCCTCGAAGTACGCTCAACACGAGCGTATCGAACACGGCTTGGTTCCTGTGCATACGATTCTCATCAAACAGATACATATGTCCATACGAGGGGAAGATATTTTTTCAAGGAACAAGGAGGGTTCGAATCATACGAGGAAACCTCACCCTTATGAAAAGAGAAAAAAAATACATGAAAAACAAATTAACCCATGTGTTTCACTTTTACATACGAATTACGTTACTCGTAACATATGATTTTCAGTCACCCTTCATTATCTTCCATCATCATTGGTGGGACGAACTTGAAGGGGATCGTAAGGATTAGTCATAAAAACCTTTCATTGTTCCCAGCAAAATGTGGGAGTTTTGAACGAACTCTTACGCTCCGACTATTTCATTTTATTTTATTTTCTATCATTAATGTGTTCGTTGATGCTGCTAATATGTTTCTCTTATGACGTTAAATAATTACTCTGGAACAAGCCGAGAATGTAATAAAATGATATTTACGAGATCTTTTATCCATGCAATGAATTACCATTTTATTTTTATTTTTGTTATTATTGTAGGAGATCTTCCTGCCTCTTTACACTCTAGGAATTCTAATAGTGATAAAGGTGTTGATACCTAATCCAAATTATCCTGCAATGACGACGAGAAGGCATGAAGAAAATATATTCGAGTTATTCAATGGTTATAAGAACAATACGATAGCTGTGGTACCTAATTCGACAGAAACTATCGTAAGTTTTCATTAGATACGTATAAACATATACATGTATCTCGTAAAACCAATTCAAATTTGTTGATAGCATCGATTCGTCTTCTAGGCATTCTTAAATTCGATGAACACGCTATGGTTGTCTATGTGGGATTACCCTGGGAAATTACCTTTGAATTTCATGATATTCGATACGAAAGATGATCTACAGGCAGCTTATTGGAGAGATCCATACAGTATACCTCTGGCTGTGATCTTCGAGGACTCTCAACCGATCACTCAACGTCTTCTGTAAGACTGTATTTACATGTATACACATTATACATATACTACCAGCCAAAAGTTTCGAATAACTACATAAATTTAAAGAAATATTATATTCGTAAAAAAAAATAAATGCCTTTTGAATAACCGAAGCAGATTTATGAGTCAACGAAAACTTATTAGTAGTATGTTTTACATTTTTTGACCAAATAATGAATATTTCTCTTCTTTGAATTGTTTTTTTCGTTAAATAAATATTGTCCTTATTTTTAACGACAACCGGACATATTCCCAGACGAGGAAGTATTTTTAGGTAAGGTTTTTATTATGGGCTGCAACCTAGGGCCTCATTCGCGTGTTAAAAAAGAAAATAAAAACAATTTAAATCAAGAATTAAATAAAAAACTAAGAGTAAATCTCCAAAGTTAACGGTCTTCCTCTGATTCTGGGCATATTGGACATTTCAGAAATCAGCAAGTAATGTCGAACCTTTTGGCTGTGGATAGATTGCTATTTCAAAGTGGAATGTATTAAATTGCTACTTTGATACAGTTGATTATCTGCATACACGAAATGCTACTCTTTTTCTTCCTTTCTTTTTTTTTAATATCTAATCCAAATTGAAGGGTGATTAGGAATAAGTGACTACTTGTACTTTTTAGATACGAGATTAGAACAAATCCTTCGTATACATCGCCTCCTTCGCCTACTGAACTCTATTCCGCTCCGGTTACTTGCCGGAAGGATACCAGCCATTGGATGGGTGACGTTCTGTCGATAGAAACTGGCGGATCATGTCCCGTGATTAACTACTTGCATTCTGGCTTCCTAGCTTTACAAATGCTAATGGATATTACGAAGATAAGGGTACGCCAGTTACTTATAGTCTTGGATTATATTGCTTACTTTTTGCACTCCCTCTTCTTCTCTCTTACGAAATAGATCTTCTAATGTATTACTTCCTTCTTTACTACAGTTTGACACGCAAAACATCGACGTAACCATTCCAAATATAACATTAGAAATGTTTCCGAAAGAAGCGTTTACCGCTGGTAAGTTAACTCTCTCTCTCTCTCTCTCTCTCTCTCTTTCTCTCTCTCTCTTTCTCTCTCTCTTTCTCTCTTTCTTTTTCAAAGCTTATTTATTTTCCTTAAAGAAATGATGATGGAATAATGTTTTTTCTTAATGCAACATTATAATACATTTTTTAGATTGGATGCTAGCTTTTAGAGTGGTTATTCCTTTGTACATGGTCTTAGCACTTTCACAGTTCATTACTTATCTCTTGATATTAATTGTCGGTGAAAAAGAGAATAAGATTAAAGAAGGAATGAAAATTATGGGTCTTAAGGACTCTGTATTTTGGTAAGTGAATATATTGTATATATAAATGATGATGAAATTAATAAATTCTAATGTATGCATTAAATACATTTAATATTGATAAATCGTCTGTTGTGCTTTAGGATATCCTGGTTCATTATCTACAGCATCTTCGTATTGTTACTTTCTGCAGTCGCGGTTATATTACTCTTCACTCTACAAATGTTTCAGCATACGCACTTTTTACCGATATTTCTCCTTGTAGTACTTTATAGTTTTTCCGTCATCATGTTTGCCTTCATGATAACACCGTTCTTTGACAAATCTCGAGTAAGTATTTACGTTAGGATCAATTAAATAGGTGATCTGCGATCGATTTGAATGTAACATTATTAGCCAAACATTTCGGATTTCAAAGCGAACATCTCATACTCGTATCTTGTTTTAGACTGCCGGTGTTCTTGGAAACTTTGCAGTAACGATACTAAGTTTGATGTACTTCATTCAAGTATTCGTAGATGATTCTAGCTCGATCTCATTTTGGTTGGTATCACTTATAAGTCCCACGGGTGTTGCATTGGCCATGGACAAGGCAAGTTTTTTTTGTAAACGTTTAAGCAACAATTAAATCTCTTCGTATCGATAAATTATTTATTTTTTATTAATTACGAGTTATTTATTAGGCCTTGGTCCTGGATTTACTAGGAGAAGGAGTCAATTTCGATAATCTCTGGTCCGGTCCTGGTATGCCTTTCGGGGGAAGTCTCATTATGATGACTTTAGACATATTCTTATATGCTTCCATAGCATATTACTTGGACTCGGTTATTCCAAGTATGTTTAAGGAATAATGTATTTCTTTTCTGATGATTTATTCAATGATAATTGAAAAAAAAAACGATTATCCTTAATGACATTTTGATTAATAGGCGAATACGGCACGAAAAGACACCCGTGGTTCTGTTTCACGCCCGGATTTTGGTGCCAACGTAAAGTTCAAAGGGTACCATCGTCTAACGGGGAATCTAATTCGTTTATACCCGGGGAAGAAACAAGTCGAGACGTTGAACCGGTTGTTCGTGAGATGAAAGGAAGGGAAGCGATTAGAATCGTAGATTTATTTAAATCTTATCAGAAATGTCGTAAGCCTGAAATTAAAGCAGTCAATGGTATCAATTTAACAATTTATGAGGGACAAATAACAGCAATACTAGGACACAATGGTGCCGGTAAAACCACGTTGTTTAATATACTCACGGGATTGACATCGCCAACAGCCGGTACAGCTTTGATTTTTGGATATGACGTACGAGATTCGAACGATATGCAGGTGATTAGAAGTATGACAGGTGTATGTCCTCAGCATGACATTCTGTTTGATCTTTTAACACCTAGAGAACATCTCGAATTTTTTGCTGCTGTACGTTGCATTCCAAAATCGATGATCGAATACGAGGTATGACAATATTTAAAGCTTGTAAATAATTTGTTTCTTATTTTTGTTTTTTTTTCTTTTTTATATATATTACAGTTGCAGTTCATCTTCCATTCTTTTTCTATTTTTAACTATCATATAAAACGTTCAATAATTATGTGTCGAATATTACAGGTAAAGAAAACGTTAAAAGATATCGATTTGGTTGAAAAAGCAGATACTTTTGCAAAATACTTAAGCGGTGGTCAGAAGAGAAAGCTCTCAGTAGGTATCGCCATTATCGGTGACCCTAAGATCATTATCCTTGATGAGCCCACAGCTGGAGTGGATCCATACTCAAGAAGACAAATGTGGTCTTTCTTGCAATCCAGAAGGCATGGTAAAGTCATTCTTTTAACGACTCATTTTATGGATGAAGCAGACATATTAGCTGACAGGAAAGCAGTTATAAGTAAAGGAAGATTGAGATGTTGCGGTAGTTCATTGTTCTTAAAAAACAAGTTTGGCATCGGTTATCATTTAACGTGAGTACCAAATATAATATAAAATACGCGTGTGTATACCTAAAAATAGAAACAAAAAAAAGAAACAAAATTAATCTTATGATTTAATTTATATTCTATAATTATTTATATTATAAAATAACTCATAAGATAAATTTGTGTTTTTCTTGTAATTTTTTAACTCGATTTATTGCCATAATTACCGGCACATATGTTACTTTTTGTTAATAATTTTTGGTTGATTTATCATTCCAGTCTTGTACTCGAAGGCAACGCAAGGGAACATGCGATAGCGCGATTAGTATCGTCTCACGTAACGAAAGCCGAAAAAGCAAGACGTCATGGTCGTGAATTGAGCTTCATCTTGCCTCATAATTCAGTGGAAAATTTCGCCTCACTTTTTTCGGCTATCGAGCACGAAATCAAAACGAGATCGAGTAGGTTGGGTATCAGTAGTTATGGAGTATCTATGACGACCCTGGAAGAAGTATTTTTACATCTGGAAAAAGACGAGGAAACGGAGTGTACCATGGATAATCTGTCTAAGAAAATGGTTCGTAATCGTGCACTTAGTAGATCGTTGTCCTTGCAGTCGAAAAGTACATCGTACCAGAGTTTACAGAACGAAGGTGTTATCGTTCAAAATGATGGTCAAGCAAAAGGTAATTGAATGTTTATATTTGTTAAATGGAAAATTAATTCATTAATTAATTCGTTAATTAAATATTTTGTTTACAATTATGTTGTATTACAGGAGCAGGTGATCTACCAGATGGAATTCACAATGATAGGAATCCTCCTGTTCTCGGCCTTGGCTTAGACCCCATCAAAATTCGGCCTAACTTCCTTCAAATTCTTTACGCCATGCTTCGCCTAAGGATACTCAGGCTGTTTAGAAACATTCAACTACTTTACTTCACCATCATTGCTCCTCTTGCTCTCATAATCCTCGGTCTCTACATAAACAGTATTCAAACGGTCGAAATTAAGATGCAATCTCTTGAACTTAATAGTGGTACGCTTATCTAACTTCTTACATATAATATATTATTTCAAGTATCATCGAAATATCTATTAACATTTAAGATATTTGTTCTCTCTCTCTTTTTCTGTACATTTTTTAGAAACCTACGGCAATAAGACGAAAATCTTATATGTGAATAATACCAAAGTTGACATAACGCCTTTGATGGATGGTATAAATCAAGATGTTAAGCACGTCGATGAATACGATGGAAATTTCGTTAGTTTGTTAAAAAACGCACCACACATGGCAGCATTTAATATCAATGAATACAACTTCCCTAAAATGAATTTAACGATCGTATATAACGATACTATGCAACATTCTTTGCCCATCTTAGTGAATGTACTGTTAAATACTTATTATAGGTATGTATATTATTCCTCGTTCTTAAAAAAAAAAAAGAGATTCCAAATTGCAATAATTATTGCAATAATTTCGTTACAAACAGATTGGTAGCTGGAAAGGACGATGTTCCTCCAATTGAAGTAAAGACTCATCCGTTTCAACAGACATCACAGCCACAAGAATTTAATGTAGGCATTGCCAGTTCAGCATTATTTATTGGAATGGATTTTGTTTTATTACCGATCACGTTAGCAGTTGATATGGTTTACGATCGAGAAGTAAGGATCATTTTATTGAAAATATTATTTCATTTTCCAAAACGCAACGAGATTATATAAATATATATACCTATATAATTTGATTTTTAGATAAAAGCAAAGAATCAATTGCGCGTCAATGGTCTGTCATTTCCAATGTACTTCCTTTCCTATTTCATTGTCCTCGTCGGCCTGATGACATTTATTTGTTTATGCATCGTCGGCATTATATTTCTTTTCGACGTGCCTTCGCTTCAAGAACCACCAGCACTCATCACCCTTGGTGCCCTTTTGATGTTATACTGCCCTTCGTCCATTCTTTTCTCGACATGTTGGAGTTATATCTTTGATAAGATGGACTCTGCACAAAGTATTTTACCCAATATTGCAACATTCCTTGGACTTATACCGTTTCTGCTTGTCGTCATACTAGACATGCTAGGCGTCGGTAAATAACATATATTATTAATAATAAAAAAATAATATAATAATAATAAAATATAATATAAATACATATAAATATAATATTAATATTTATTTAACCAATATAAAATATAATAATTTGTTTAAGGTGGTACAGCAGCGTTCGCTTTGCATGTGGTTTTTTCTCTGTTAAATACCATGTACGTGCCCTTCGCAGCGGTGTACTATGTAGATCGCGTCCATTTAATGTGCTCCATCAATGCTGCTTGCCATCATTTAACGATGTCAGACTATCTTACTACAGAGATCATTTTAATGGCCGTTGGTGTACTCTTACATTGTCCATTATGGTTCTTTGTGTTGCTATTATTGGACATCAAGAAAAGCGGTGGAAACGTTAGCGATCTCTTCAAACACTTCCTGGTTAGAAGATTTTTTCTATTTTTCTTTTTTTTTTTCGTCATTACGTAAGTATATATATGCATACAAATAAATGTATAACTTGTGTGGTATGTTTGTATAGAGAAATGGTGGTTCTATCGGCGAGGAGATCATGGAAAATTCCGATATAGGCGATCACGAAGATTCTGACGTCAAAAATGAAAGACAGAGAGTGTTCAATCTTATTACGTCACCTTCCGCTCAACAACCACCAGTGGTACTTGTCCAGGTAAAATTATTTTCTACTGAAAATGATGAACATGTTAAATATGATATGAGCATGATATTGATCACATGATTATTAAACACGTTAGAATCTACGAAAAGAATATCGCCAACGAGAAGCAGTTTCTTGTAGCTGTTGTACCAAACGGGAGGAAGAAACAACACCGCAAATGCAACAAAAAGTCGCCGTACGAAATCTATCATTGGCCGTTGAACCGGGCGAAGTATTCGGACTGTTGGGTCATAACGGTGCCGGTAAAACTACTACGATGAAGATCATTATTGCAGAGGAAGCAGCGACACGTGGTAGAGTACAAATTGGTGGAAGCAATATTCACTCTCACATTGAAGAAGCATTCAGACAAATGGGATATTGTCCTCAACACGATGCCCAATGGAAGAACATTACGGTACGAGAACATTTGGAATGCTACGCAGCCATTCGTGGTGTACCTTGGGGAGAGATTAATAGGTAATTTTAAAATAACTTTTATCCTGTGTGTTTATAATAATAAATTTATAATCTTCTAAACTAACAATATTATTTCAGAATTGTTGATCTCTATCTATCCGGTCTTCAAATACATGAACATGCCGATAAACAAACTCAAGAATGCTCAGGTGGTACTAGAAGAAAACTCAGCTTTGCAATGGCAATGGTTGGAGGACCAAAGGTTGTTTTAATGGATGAGCCTAGTACGGGTATGGATCCTAGGTCAAAGAGATTCCTATGGGATACCATTCTTGCTAGTTTTCAGGTACCATCGAAACACTACGAGCCTTCACTCGGTTTTTCATATTTTTCTTTTTTTCTAATCTTCGTGAATTTCTACAATAGGGCGGTCGAGGAGCAATTCTTACAACTCACTCAATGGAAGAAGCAGATGCATTGTGTTCCAGAGTCGGTATAATGGTCAAAGGTGAACTGAGATGTATAGGTTCGACGCAACATCTTAAAAATCTTTACGGTGCTGGGTACACTTTAGAAATGAAACTATTGGGTGGCGATTGCACCCCGACTACGCCTTCCAGTGATAGATTATCTGCATTAAAAGAATTCGTTGCTGGTCTCTTTCCTGATGCAACTGTAGAAGAAAGCTTTGCAGATAGATTGGTTTTCGCCGTTCCTCAACACGCAGTGAACTCGCTGGCCGAGTGCTTTATGCAGTTGGAGAAGGGTGAGAGAGAGAGTATTTTTTTATCGAAAAAAAATTAATTAATTTTAAATACGCTTATGGAGCAAAAAAACTAAAAAGAATAACAATTATAAAATTTTTAATTGCAGCCAAGCAAGAGTTGGATATCGAAGAGTACAGTTTCAGTCAAACTACGCTGGAACAGGTGTTTCTTAAGTTCTCTCATTACGATGAGAGCAATAGTGGTGAATGACGATCTAGATATTCAGTGTGTTAGTATCCCATTTTTAATTATGAACTTGCTATACTTTCAAGATTGCTCAATAACGCGCGAGAGTATTCAAAGTCATTGTTTTTATCTCTGCGAGTGAAGAAAACCGAAACGAAAATGATATTAAAAAAGTCATCTACGTTGTAAGAAAAATAATACCATGACTGTCGGATAATGTTGCACTAAAAATGCGAGTACGAGCGATGTTAAAGAAATCAAAAAAATCATTTTCTTTCCATAAAAAAAAAGTTCAAAGTTTAATCATTTAAAAAATTAGAATAATCGCGTCTATCCTTTGTTAATGTATTATTATTATTATTATTATTATTAATTATCTAAACATTACACCACAATGATTCATTAAATGCACGACCTTTTTTCTCTATGAGGATTCAGTGACATACATTAAAATGCTTTTATCTAATAGGAAGGGGGTTGTATATTGTCCCAAATCTGCAATTGAATCTAGATGAAACGCGTATTCTTGTTAAATAAATCATTCAAAGGATATTGTATATACATTATCTTGAAATATGCTTTTATCAGTACTGTAAACCATGTAACACATAATTGCACAATTAAAGAAAAGCAACTATTTAATACGAAATTTTCGCAGTCGTAATATAAGCTAACACACATTAAATACATGCATTCATAAAATAAATACATAAATACATTAAGCAAGTATGGGTTCTAATTTTAGGGCTTCCTGAATAAAAGATTTTTGTAAAAGCGAATTCATTTGAGAATCTTAGAATATAAAAAGAAAAATAATAAACTAGTAATTTTGGGAGGGGTTTTGGTATCCATGATCTCGCCACCATGACTGTATGTCACTGTTAGGATCGTATATCAACTGATATAATACTGCGAATACTGCGAGTATATACAACAATTACTATCAATATTATAATGAAATCGTCTATTTCTCGTGCTCGTATTTTGGTGCATCGCAAATTAGACGTTTGCGTAAAAAATACTTCTGTATTATCTGCGCAGATAAGTAATCGAGGAATAATTAAGTGTTAATAATTAGCATCTTGTAAATATAGTCGCAAAAGGATAGTGTTCGAGCGTCGATTACAAAAAAAAATAAGAAAAAAAGAGAAGTTCCGTTTTCATTGATAACACGAACAAAAAATACCGATTTAATAATCTAAAGTATAATCTATACTGATTTTATCGTTTCGATATTATTTCACGCTCTCATTTTTTAAATACCAAAAGAAATACTCGCGCAGCGGTCTCGTAACAATATTGCATTGGAATTGGATCCTGTAATGTATTTAATGTTAGTCACAAAAATATGACGTAACGTTTATGATCATTAACAGAGAGGTAACGCAGATATCTCTCTTCTGCGTGTAATACATACATACACATACACACACACACATACATTCATACATACACACAAATTCATACGTACTTACATACATACAAACGTAACTACATATATATCAATTTATTTAATTTTAATGCGACAATTTGTTATCCGCAAACGTATGAGAAGAGCATTTTACCCCGATATAGAATCGAATAAATTTTAATCGATTTGAATACGATCGCGTATTCGTAAATAATTCAAGAAAAAATAAATAAATAAATAAAAATAATAAATAAATAGTCGAGAAACATCGACGAAAAACTTTTACGTAATATTATCGATTCAAGAGGAATGGTGGCATACATGCAACAAAAATAATAGGATCATAGTAATTATGTATCTATTAACGTTTCTTCTCCGTCTGTCTTATGGTCTTTTATCAAGCTTTTTTTGGATCACAAGTCAGAAGGATATGATAGGTCGTTATTTATTGCCTCTTTAGGATGTAAAACAATGATCATGATGATAATGAAGATAATGATGATGAAGATGAAGATGATGATGAAAATGACGAATTCATGGAAAAAAAAAGATTTTATAATTCCGTTTAGATTCATGAGACGTACATATATAGAAAAGGATCTCGCATGATCCAATTGAGTTGAGATATCGAAACGAATAGTTGGTTGATTTTCGGTTGGCAAAAATTTGAATTATTCTTGAGTACCGATTAGATCTAACATTCGTTCAATTAAGCATGAATGCTTTGAAAGTGTGATCAACGTATACTCTCGAAAATTCAATTTATTGCTATCCTTTTTATCGCCTACGAAACGTTATAAGGGTTGATAAGAAAATTGCTGCCGATAAAAATAAATATATATAAATATTTATATATATATTATATATATATGTGTGTTTATGTATATACAAGGTGGTTCGCTAAAATGACTGATTCTTTTTCTTTCTTTAAAAATATCATAGATTGATTCCGCGATTCTTTTATTATATGTAAAACAAGTGTCGCCTAGTTATACGGATCAAACAACGAACGTTATTTGAAAGTGAGTTTATCTAATGAAAAAATCCTTATCATTATTTGTATAAAATTACACCTTGCGTCGTTAGAGAAAATGTGAAAGGTTTATAATTAGTTCTTCATCTCTGATCCTTTCATCTTTTGAAAAATGATGAAACGTTGTTCGTTGATAGCAAGTGAACGGTCAGTGAACCATCCTGTATATTCTCAAGGGCTCCTTAATCGTAATACTGGATCCAAGATCTAATTACGAAGGTAAAGAGCAAAATAAGAAAGGGGGAATGTCTCAAAGATAAGAGAGAAAGAAAAAAAAGAAGAAGAAATATAAGAAAAAGAAAATTAGCCAAACGTTAGAAAAGATAATTACATGCTCTTTTGAGGCTTTTGAGAAAAGAAAAAAGTTAATAAAAAATAAAAATATAAAATAAAATAAAGGAGAGCTCTCGTTTGCAGAATCGCGCCCTATGTCTCTCTTAGATCTTAATGGTGTTGCGATCGCGACGGGAAAAATTCGAACGCGAGTTTCGGGCGTCGTTCGGAGGACTGAATGAAACATTTTTGTAGATGATATAATATATATATAAATATATACATACATAGCGTAGGTAGTTAATATTTGAATCTCGTCATAAAAAGAAGTATCGATTTTTGTAAATATGAACTCGTTATATAAGAGAGGGAGAATTCTTATTATAAATATATATATGAAATAGAAACTGCGTGCGTAAATTTACGTAAGTAATTATTACGTGCATTTATAAAAAGGGATTGGTGTACGCACAAATCTCGCTCTAGAAAATACGATATTAACATAAAATTTAGTCAATTATGAAATTACACGATTGAAAGAAAGGGTAAAGGAAAGAAAGAAAAAAAAAAAAAAGAAGAAGAAACAGAACAGCAGACAATTTTATGAGATTATATATAAATATATACCATTTTTTAAAACCGTTGTCACCGATTAAGGGAATACGCGACGATCTGTCTCGAGCATTCCTGATAATTTAAAATAAACAAATAAACAACAAACGAACAAAAAAAGGGGAAAAAATAATAATAATTAAAAAAAAATAGAAAAAGAAATAAATAAAAAATAAGAACAATAAGTTACTGCGTAATCCGATAGACATGCAGCAGCAGCAGCAACAGCAACGGCAGCAGCAGCAGCATAATCGCGTTTGCGGTCAAAGTGCTTCATTTTTTGACAATTATTTTGCGAATCCTGTTGTCGGATATATTTAGTAGCCGTGTGTAAATACATACATACTTTACATACATACATAAAATACATAAATACATACATAGATCTCTAATGTAATCGTCTGCACACGCTCGCGTAAATGCGCGTTAATTAAAAAAAAAACCCTCGCTTTTCTTATTATGGTCCGTTCGTTCTTACGTGGATTGTCCCGATCGATCCGACTTAAACTTTAATTAATTAATTCATTAATTATACAACAATGAAAAGACGATGGTAGTTTTATCGTAGACGATAGTCAAAGAGAAAAAAAAATAATAATTATAATAATAATAATAATAATAATAATAATAATAATAATAATATTAATAATAATAATAATAATAATAATAATATCCAAGTTGGACGATCGGTAAATCGTCTTTCTCATAGCATTATTTCGTTTTTTGGTAAGAATATTTCTTCTCGTGCATGCACGTATGTAAGCACCCACCCATACACGCGCGACTGACAAGATGGATACACACATACATACTTACATATATATATAAACAGACACACACAATGATCATACATACTTACATATACACCCCATAAGAAGGAAAATACATTTCGTTCTTTACTCACACGTTTAAATCGTGTAATATCTATGATATTCATTGATACGTGCCGAACACTTAACACCCGTCAAAACCGTAATTAACGTTACGGTATTACATATTTGTTGTATAAAGTGAATGTAATCAGTCGGTTAACGGAAGCTTTTTCACCAATAAAAATCAGTTAAACATAATGCTATAGCGTGGTTTTCTTCATTCACCCTATTTTCCTGTTCTTTGTGTAATGATTATTATATATATGTACATGTTTTAACATGTATAGTAAAATAATCAAATACATGAAGGATCTTGTTAGATGATTGATTATATTAAATGATTATATTACAAAAGTAATTGCAGGATTATATATGATAATTCACATAATTAATATAAATGCAACTTATAGTAATATTTACATATAAGTACGTTTACGCCTGTCACATAACAAATGTAAATGTACTTAATGTTTAGAGTTTAACATGCAGAGATTTCTTTTAAAGTCGATGGAGATACTAAATTACCTAAAATTGTTTACTTTCTTTCAATGTACGCAGAGTCTTAAAAAGTATGATAAAATGTGCAATCGTGTAACCGAGAAGAGCACCTGTTACACAAGGGATAGGCCATACTTGCCACGGTCTATCCCAATCTAATGGAATTACAATAGCACCTAACCATGTACCCAAAAGAGTAGTTTTCACTACTATTTTGGCAGCATCGATAAGTTCATTATGCTTTACTGTTTCTGTTCCTGTTAAAATGTTGACCGCTGTATCTACTCCTAAATGTAAACTAGCCGGAACAAATGTTAAACACGTTAATATTATAGTAAGCATGGTTGTTTCCTCGTGTTGACTAAAAACTGGTGCACCAAATATAACAATGATAAAATAATAAATGATAGACAATATAATACTTATGATAACAAACTTAAAACCTTCCTTGATATATTTGGTCCAAGATTTTTTAGCTTTCGAAGTCTTAGTTTCTATTTTGGTGATTAGTACCGGTTCTGTTTGTAACAACGAGAACATTACTTTGATCACCTCCGCAAACATCAATATCAATAATGTTGGAATAAAATTGTACGAGCCAACATTATATAAGCTGCCATTTATTTGTAATAAAGTTAATATTCCTGGAAAGTAAATGCAAGTGAATGAGGAATAAACGAACAATAGTTTTTGCGCCGCTTTTATTCCACCGATCATATTTCTATTTTTATAGTCTGTAACATAGAGATAAACAATATTTATAAATATATAAAACGATAAACAGAAAAATATTTATATAAATATGTGTATTTTTTAAAATGACATTAATTTGAGGTTAATTAACATGTGACTTACCACTGAAATGCATGTGTAATGTGTCACTTTTTATAAATACACATATACATAAGTTATTAAAAATGCATATTACTTATCTCAATAAAGTGCACTTAATTAGATATAATTTAAACAAAATGACAATTTGACAGAAAATGTTTACTAGTATTTGAACGCGCGATTGGCAACATTTTGACGTGTAGTTTCGAAAGCAAATAGTATCAGTGTGACCTGTTACAAGAGTGTAGTGTGTATTGGGAAAAGGAAGAGACAACAATTTTATGCTATTGCTTAATACAAATTATTTGTTCTTATTTTAAATAAATTATCATGGGTAAGAATAAACAATCGCAGAGAACTAAAAATAATGCAAGGGTACGTATTAATTATCATTTAAAATTAAGACTTTTTTCATATTAACCTCAAATTTTTAAGACATTCTATAATTCAATGTATTTGACTCATTTTATAATCAATAGACAAGATTGTAGCACTTTTTGATAAAATGTGATGAAATATTAATAACACAATATGTATCTGCTTTTTTTTTATTTCAAATATCTCTATTAATATTCTCACTTTGTAGCCATCAAATAGTAGTAGAAGCGCAGAGCTTTTGGGAACTCCGATGCCCAATTTTGTTGGGTTTTCAGCTGTCAAGGATGGTGGCTATGTTCCTGTACTTCCTGGATTAACTCTTTGTAATTTAAATGATATTGAAATGCATAATGTTAATTCTGACTTTCAAATTGTCTTAAAAAAAATGAATAAGAAGGATGCGACTACAAAATACAAAGTAAAAATTTGTTTTTTTTTGTATTAGCGTCAAGTAATATTTGTCTTATCTTTTTAACATATGAATATATTTTTGTAGGGTTTGCAAGAATTTGCAACTATGTGTCAAACAGTAGAATTATCAGCAGTCGAAGGAATGTTACCTTTTTGGCCAAGATTATATAGTGTTTTAGCTATTGATATTGAACATAAAGTAAGAGAAGCTGCACAAATAGCTCATGCTGCTGTAGTTAAACGAGTCGGTAAAGGTATTGCTATATATTTGAAGCAAGTCGCTGGTCCTTGGTTTACTTCCCAATATGACACTTATCCACCTGCTGCATCGGCTGCAACTAATTCATTTAATGTGAGTGATACATTTTTTTTTTATTTAGACTTTTATTTTCTAAATATAATTATTTAATAATCTTTTTTTCACGTGTTCAGGAAACTTTCCCGCAAAAGAAAATAGTTGACGTAATAATCCATTGTCAACAAGAAATATTATCATATATTTGTGATAATGTTATAACTCAAACACCGCAGTCATTGTCTATACATAAGTACGTTTCATTATTTATTAAATATGATATCTAATTGTATTATACATGTCTCTTTAATATTTTTATTATATTTTTTTTTCTTTAGAACCTTAAGCGCAGAAGAAATGGAAACAAAGTATCAAAAAGTATTGGTGGCAAGTTTACATAGTTACAGTTATTATTTTAAAAAAGTACCCATTCAAGAAGTAGAAAAAACTACAGAAATTCATCAGAAAATCATAAGCAATAGTAAATTTTGGAAATTAACCAAGCACAATGTTATTCCTATAAGAACAGCAGTTTTTACTGCATTAACGTCGATAATAGAAAATGCTGATTTTTTAATACAAAATGAAAAGAAAAGAACAGTAACAGCCATTATGAACAGTTTGGATGAAACGGAACCTGCGCTTTCTTCGGCAATCTGGGAGTCTTTACTTGTTGCTATTAATAAAATACAGGTAAATGATTTAAACTACAACTTCTGTTACATTGCATAAAATTATGAATTGATAAAATATAAATTTTTATTTTTTTTAGGACTGGTATATAGTAGTTAGTATCGAGAAGCTAGTGTTGCCAAAATTATGGCGAATTTTACGTGGTGGTGGACAATGTTGTGCAAGTGTCGTTTATCCTAATTTATTACCTTTTCTTAGTCAATTTCCAAAATTAAATATTGATAATACGACTTTGTACATGAATTTCTTTGAGAATATGCGACAAGGGTATTTATTCAATTTCATTTAAACAATATGTTATCAATTATACAACAATTTTGATGATGTATACATTTTTCAGTTTTTCGGCTAAGAGCGTCCAACTTAGTCGTTCCGAAATGTTTGCAGTAACGGTTTCCTTTATTGAGTGTTTACGATATGCAATTTTATTGAATGTCAATGAGGTTGCTCTGTGTGAGAAGCTTTTGAAAGAACAGGTAAATAACAAGTCTTAAAATATATTATTTTATATACTATTATAAATATTAATATGAACAAATCTTTTTTGAATATTGCAGCTAATTCCTATAATAGAAATGTGTTTAGAAGAAAATATAATAATGAAACAAATTTTATTCTGTGAAGTTATCCAATTGTTGAAATATTGGAGTAAAAATCGTTGCAACGAAGAATATAAATCATATCCACTTTTAATAAAAAAATTTTGGACAGAACTTAAACAATTATATGAAAAACTCATAAATATGATGCAAACTTCCACTTCAACATCTATTGAACTTATAAGTAATTCTCAAATGGAATTATTACTTAACTTAAAAAATGCCCCAAATAGAAGACGAAAAAATTTAAAAGTTAACTTTGCTGAATCTGATCAGTTTACCGAAGCTAAATGTCAAATACAAAAAGTAGAAGTAGAAGTGGACAAAGTTTTTCAGGCAGAACTTTTTAATTTTGTTAATGAGTTTTGCGTAACATGTTTTGATAAAATTAATAGACAGCACTTCATAGAATATATCGAATATCTTAACAAAATAATCACACATTTTGAATGTAAAGAACTTTTTATTGCTCTTACAAAATCATTGAAACCGAACATTAGTTTCTTCGAATTTTATAACGAAACTTTGAAAAACTGGTTAATGCAGGCATCGAACAAAGAGAAACATGTAGTAGAATTAATTTTCAAACTTGTTAAATACATGGATGATATGGATAAGGATAAAGTTCTAAGTTCATTAACTGAGGTAAGATTATTATATTTTATATTTCTTTTTGGTTTTTGAAAATATAATATACACATATATGTATTTATTATTTTAATTTTTAGTTTGAGAATGTCACTATAGTTCGAAGTATTATCGAGTGTGGTTTATCGAAAAATAATAGAAATGATGTTGTGATAAAAAAATGGTGTTCACAATCTAAAGTAACGAGTTTACTTATAGATGTAGCCAAGGAAGTAGTTTCTGATAGTTGTATTGATTTAGAAAGAAATAAAAATTTGATTCTATTGGCTTTAGATTTATCCGAGGATGGTGGTATGTTTTATACTTTTAATATCTGTCTATTTATTTTTTGTATATTTGTATTATTTATAATATTTATTTGTTTTTAGACCCATTAATAAACGAAGATAAAGCTAATCAAATAATAACAATCCTGTGCGATTCAATAAATGAAAGAAACGAAGCTTCTTTGGTAGAACTTGGAAAATTAATTTTACAACTTGTGCCGCTTGTATGGACTTACAATAAACCGATATCTGGTGCTGTACAATTATTAAAAGCACTTTTTGTACTATGTATTCAAGAATATTCCAATAATTATGATTCCATTTCTATCGATGATATGCAAAATGTTTGGAAAAAAGGTCTTTCTGAATGCAGACGAAGACTCACTCATTCAGAGTTTACTTCGTTTACTAAACAAATTGCCATCATTACTTGGAACGTCATATGCAATACGTAAGAGCTTTTTCATTTCTGATATATTTAAAAGGCCTAAAGGATTTTATTTTTCTTATCAGTTTACTTCTTTACAGACACGAAGCAGACGTAAAAGATTTGTTAGTAGATATAGCAACTGATTTCTTTGAAGTAATAATTAATGATGCATTATGCATAAATACTATTGACGTGGAATTGGAGTACGAAAAAGAAGTTCTTTCTACATTTTTAACAGAATCAAATATAAGTACATGGATAGCTGAAGTTACTGGAATAGTCATTTACGCAGAAGCAATAACTGGACATTTATACGTATCGAAACCCGAACAGGAGATACGTGCATATCACCATACTACAATAATTAATTTAATCGATAACGTTTCGGCAGATAACACTGAGAATTGTCTTATATGGGCTTTGTTTGTAACTAAATTATTAAATAATCTTTATTTAAGATATGAACAAGAAATTATGGATGAAAATAAAATGAAAGGTCAAACTGTGATACCAGGATTTACGGAAATATTAATAAATATCTTACATTCTGTTACTTTAGGACATATTTATGTGAATTATTATAAATCTGTTAGTACAATTTATATTTAATATTTTTATACAAAATTATATGATATATAATTTTTTGAATTTAAAATAATTAACATTCGTTTACAGACTAAATGTTACAAAAATGTGGATAAACTTTTGACATCCGTAAAAAATAATTTGAAAAGTTTACCGAAACATGTAACTAAAAAGGAACACGAGGAAATTCTTCAGTATATTCAAAAGTAAGTATTATCTTTCTGTGCAATATTTGAAGTTATGAATTAATATGATTTTTTTTCAGATATAAGTCTGAATATGGAAGTATTTTACCATATATTATTAATATCTATTTTATGGAATTATGTGAGAAAAAAGATCTTATGGAATATTGTAAAATGTGTAAAAATAAAGGTATATTTCCTGAAAAAGATTCATGCGATAAAGAAGCATATTTACAAGCAGTGCAGGTATGATGCTGTCTTTTGATTTTCTTTAATAATTATTCCACAATAAATGAAAAGTTCTTTGTTAATATTATTAAATAAATTATTTCAGATTACGTCTCAATATTTAGATCCGGAAAAAATTCAAGTATCAACAGATGATTTTCTAAGTGTGTTAATTGTAGGAAGAAATATACTGTCGACTCAAGAAGATTCTTTAGTACACCTCCGTATTTTAGAAAGAATTGTAATTGATCAGTCGAAGAATCCGAAATTGTTCCTTCTTGATTGGTTCGTATATTTGATTTACATTTTTATTTATAAAAACTATTCCGACTACATTTAAATAATAATTGGTATTTTTTTGTAGCGATGTTAGCAAAGAGTCGTGGGAAAACGTAGCTTTAACTCTAGAAATAATAAAATTTCTTACGGAATTTATTATAAAAAAATACACGGATTTAACGTACGAAAATTGGGATTTTATTCTGATTTCTTTAGCATCTTGGCAAGCTTCCGTAAATAAATCTAAACATAATTTTAATGATCCTAAGGTAAATATATTGCATTAAATGCATATTCTTTTTAATGTTTTAATATTAAGAATACATATATATATATGTAATAACATATACATACGTTTATACATTTATACAGGTGACAGCATTAACGGTAGCCGTTAGTCAGCTTTTTTATGAAGTTCAAAGCATGATGCATAAACACGAAGCAAAACCTTTGAGCGAATTACCACCTGATATTTTAGATGAATGGAAAGCTGTCTTTGCTAAGGACATACACAGAAGTATTCTAAAAACTTGGAAGCTTCATGCTGGTAATTTTGTTTGTTTATAAAATAATTTTGCAAAGGTTATAATATGAATTTTATATTAACTAAAATTTACTGAAATATTTTTTACAGAATCGTACGGCGAGAAAATGGGGGTTTTAAAACCAATTATTGCTTTAGATTATTTGGGTAGAACGATAAGTTTACTTTATGCTAAAGAACTTTTCAAAAATGATAGCGAGTTTACCGAAAACAATAATTTAGACGAAACGATAAAATTGTGTCTAAAACTTATTCAGTCCCCAGTACCGTCTATTCAATTAGCTGCGTATCATTGTTTGAAACATGCCATTTCTGAGCTTGTAGAACACGACAAAACATCAATGGAAACGGAATGCTTTCATCCACTTGTTTTGAGTATTAGGAATTTCGAAGAAGAACTTTTGAATATCCAATATATCGTTAACACCATGCTTATAGATTTCAAGTTGGTATTCAAAAAATAATCTATAGATAAATTATTATTTATTTGTAATATATTTATTTATCGTTTCGTGTTTATTTTATCTCCATTTAGATTATGCGACACTATTAGTTGTACTATTCAGCCTTATACAGATTCTTATACATATACTTTGGGTTACTTATTGCTTTGGGCTATCGTTTTGGATATGTGTGCAAATACACATGGTGATTTACGCTATCAATACGCTGAAATATTAAAGTAAGTTTTACTCTTGTAAATGTTATTATGTTAACCATGATATTCGCGCATAGATTTTAAAAATTTAATTATAAATAACTATTTAATGTCTTTAGGAAAGATCTATTTCCATCCTTATTAAATAATATATTCCGATTAATGCCAGTGGAAGTACTTCAGGATAACAAAAACAAAGCAGCAAAATTAGTAGAAATGTTTTCTACAGTACCATCCATGAATTTTGGAGGTACGTTTATTTACAACTTGTTGGCAATTACTTTATTATTAATTAGTATGATTTTAATTTAGAAAGTTGGACCGAATGGAGATTGGATCATATAGTGTGTTGGTTATACACAAATACTTTGAGGCATTTACCAGTGTTAGTGAGACAATGGTGGAGTACAGCTGATAGCAGAGTTAGCGTAGCAGTGGATAGAATAACAATGCATTATGTTAGTCCTATGTTATGTCAAGAAGAACTTCTTAATAATAGGCTAGTTAATGTCGAAAACATGCAAGTAAGAAATATAAAATATGCATCACATTTAACGCATGTAACTTATTTAATAGATTGAGAATACTGTCTTGTATTTATTAATTTTATAGGTAAAAGTTCATCCGACAGCTAGAGAAGTAGTAGCATTATATCAAATGGACGATACAGAATTAGAACTTAGTATTGTTTTACCACCAAACCATCCATTGGGTCCAGTAACCGTAGAACCAGGACAACACGCAGGAGGTACTGCCAATTGGAGAAATTGTCATATGCAGTTATCAATATTTCTTACTCATCAAGTAAGTATTACAATTCTATGTATATTTGTGTATTTAAAATTCATTTTTATACAATTATTTTTGATACAGAATGGTTCAATTTGGGATGGATTGATATCATGGAAAAAGAATTTGGATAAGAAATTTGCCGGTGTCGAGGAGTGTTATATATGTTTCAGTATCTTTCATATTAGTACTTATCAAATACCAAAATTGTCTTGTCATACTTGTCGCAAGAAATTCCATACGCCATGCTTGGTAAGAATTTGGAATATATTTCTTACTAAAATATTATAATATATATATTATGTATTAAATTATATTCTTTTTATTCTAGTACAAATGGTTTAGTACGAGTCAAAAATCAACATGCCCGATATGTCGAAATGTATTTTAATTCAATCCTAAGATATAAGAGGATTTCAATCGTATAATAAAATGTTATTATTATAATAATATGTTATTATAATGATAATAATAATAATAATAATAATAAAAGGCAGCTTTATATAGAATGCATACAAGAAAGAAATAAATTCATTATGTAATATAATTTATGGTGTTAGTATTAAATATATATAATACATACATGTAAGTAGTAACAATTAATGTTTTATTATATTTACTATGTGTAAAATTAAGATGTATATAAAAACATATTCGATTGTACTATGTAAATCCATCTTTAAACTAAAAACAAAAAGAAAAGGAAGAATGTAAGTTTTTAGTTTAAAATTGAATAATTCGAAAGTTGCCAATAATTCGAGAAATGATAAAATATATTATTAATTCTTGATATTTACGATCTTTGAAATAATTCATTGCTTATATCGCAATCCAGAAATGTAAGAGGGTTAGGATTAATATAGATAAGTTTAATTCCTATTTTTGACATTACCGTTATTGGTGGCGCTATCATCGATTGAACGATAAGATTTTATTGGCTGACAGTTGGTACCATATGTTTTGACATTAGTTTAAGATGGCGGTATTTTTCAGTGTTCGTACGTGAAAGAAGTCTCGTGTTTCGGTATTTTTCGCGTTATCGGTTAACATTTAAAAAATATCGAGGGATGGAGACTAGTGCGAGTACCGGTACTCGTACAACGCGATTTATGATGGAGGGTGTCGGCGCTCGAGTTATTCGTGGACCTGAATGGAAATGGGGTAAACAGGTTGGAACATAGGTTACCTATTATAAATATGTATTTTTTAAATCATTCAAACAGTCTTTTCGTGATTATTTTAACGTTGTTAATATTGTATAGCATTTTTACATTATTCCCTTATTTTATACGAAACTTTCTTTTTTAAATTATATTAAAATTTACGAATGTTTTCAACAAGTTTTTAAGGTTATCGGATGATCAACAATTATTTTCTCTCACACTTCATTATTTGTTATTAATGTATTTTGATTTAAGTAAGTGTTAATATTAATCCTATTGTATCGTATTATTTATAAATTGTTTTGATATTATTAGAAAATTAAGCAAAGAATTATATTAAAATAAATGAAGGTTAAGTTTTATTAACAGTGCAATATTGTTTAACAGGATGGAGGAGAAGGACATGTTGGTACAGTCAGAAATTTTGAATCTCCTGAAGAAGTTGTTGTTGTATGGGATAATGGTACGGCAGCAAATTATCGTTGTTCTGGTGCCTTTGATCTTCGCATATTGGACTCAGCACCAACAGGTGTCAAGCACGAAGGAACTATGTGTGATACTTGTAGACAACAACCGATCTTTGGTATTAGATGGAAATGTGCTGAATGTGGGAATTATGATTTGTGTTCTATTTGTTATCATGGAGATAAACATCATTTGAGACATAGATTTTATCGCATTGCTACTCCTGGAAGTGAACGCATTTTATTGGAACCAAGACGTAAAACTAAGAAAGTATGTGTATTATAAATATAATTAATAAAATATTAATCAATAAAATATCTATTCAATTTATACTAATACAATAATTTTTGTTATTTACAGATAGCTATTCGAGGTATTTTTCCTGGCGCAAGAGTCGTTCGAGGTGTTGATTGGCAATGGGAAGATCAAGACGGTGGAAATGGACGTAGAGGAAAAGTTAACGAAATACAGGATTGGTCATCAGCCAGTCCTCGTTCAGCAGCTTATGTTATTTGGGATAATGGTGCCAAAAATTTGTATCGTGTTGGATTCGAAGGAATGGTTTGTTTTCATACCATGCACATACTGTAATAATGAATTCTAAATTTTTATTCTGCAAATAATATTTATTTATTCTTATATACTTATAAATTTTGTTGATATTTTTAGGCTGATTTAAAGGTTGTCAGTGATGCTAAGGGACAGACAGTTTATAGAGATCATTTGCCATTGCTAGGTGAACAGGGTCCAGGTAGAACTGGACCACATGGTCTGCAAATTGGAGATCAGGTACTGAAGATGAATAATCTGTAAAATTATTTTTCAATTTAAATGAATTATTGAATATTGTATTATATTTATTATATGTATTTTATTATTAACATAATATTTTTCTTTGACAAAGGTTAACGTCGATTTGGAATTGGAGATAGTACAATCTCTTCAACACGGTCACGGTGGTTGGACTGATGGAATGTTTGAATGTCTTGGAACTACCGGTACCGTTGTCGGAATTGATGAAGATCATGATATTGTTGTGTCATATCCAAGTGGTAACAGGTGGACTTTTAATCCAGCTGTAATTACAAAAGTCCAGATACCTGTACCCGTTACAAGTTCTAGTTCGGACAATCAAACGTTTGCTGTGGGTGATTTGGTACAAATTTGTAACGATTTGGAAAAAATTAAATTGTTGCAACGTGGTCATGGAGAATGGGCAGATGCTATGGCACCAGTAAGTTAAACGTTCCTTCTGTCTTCGCAGATTCGAATATATTTAATAAATCTGATGAATATATTCTTATATTATCTTTTTTTTTGTAGACATTGGGAAAAATAGGAAGAGTACAACAGATATATCACGATGGAGATTTGAAAGTTGAAGTGTGTAGCACATCATGGACGTACAATCCGCAAGCAGTGACAAAAGTTGCCAGTAGCGATGGCAGCGTTCCAGGAAACAGTAGCGGAGGTAAAGGTTTTCGTTGAAATTAAATTCAATTTTATATTAAAATATATAATAGCTATTGTTGAATTAAAATTGAAACGTATTTTTCACTTATAGAACGTTTATCAGCACTGTTGAAGAAATTATTCGAAACTCACGTTTCGGGTGACGTTAACGAAGAATTAGTTAAAACTGCTGCGAACGGCGACGCGAGTAAATGCGAGGAATGTTTGAAGAGACCGGAGGCCGACGTCAATGGGGTATTTTCTGGTCATACGGCTTTGCAAGCTGCGAGTCAAAATGGTCATTTGGAAGTTATTAAAATTCTCCTCCGTTATAAAGCTGACGTTGAAATTGAGGTAAATAGAAATTTACTATAGACATATGAAAAATATTTTTTCTTACGATATTTGATAATTTAAAAGAAAACCCAAAGAAGATAAAGAAATTAAATGATAAATTAATATTCTCGTTTGATGAAATAAATAGGACAAGGACGGTGATAGAGCCGTGCATCATGCTGCGTTCGGTGATGAGCCAGGAGTAATGGCTTTGCTGGCAGGTGCTGGTGCTGATCTCAATGCTCGTAACAAAAGGCGTCAGACTGCCCTTCATATCGCGGTGAACAAAGGCCATGCCGGAGTGGTTAGAACTTTGCTGGAGTTAGGATGTCATCCGAGTTTGCAGGTAAGTTTTATGTCGATAATATATAACAACGTGTTGTGTTTTTACCTCCAATTTATATTAACGAGTATGTTGGCGACGGAAGACCTACAATGGATATTATTCAAATGGGGACAGAAAATGAATTCATAAAAAGAGATATTGACTGTTTATTTTGACCGTCAAATCTCTATAAATGTATATATTTATATATACATGCACGTATGTATATATATATAGTAGAATAGAAAATAAAAAAGAAAAAAGAAAAGAAAAATAGAAGAAGAGTAAAAAAAAAGAAATTAAATCGGCCATAGCGTTTCATATTATTGGGCCGATGAAATAGGGGAGGTACGGGAAAATATTAATTTACTCGATTGCCGTTTCAATTTGAAATTTATGAACGATATAAATGAAATTTCTCCGTGCATCGAAATACGAAGAAGACTGTTCGGTGAGTGAAACATTATTTGAGCTATTTATCGATCGTATACATGTGTATACATACACACATATGCACATATATATATATATATATATATATATATATATAATATTATATTATATATTATATGTTTAATATATACTTATATATATATATAAGCTATCTCGACAAGTTCGTTTAATATGAAATTACATGAGAAAATGTCCCCTCTCGAGTATAAAGAGAGAAAGAGAAAGAGTGAGAGTTAATTCGAGAAATATCGGTGCTGTTCAATGGAAATCGATATAAGAAATTTTAGATTTATAGTTTAGATGCGATGCAAGTTTTACGTTTCCTTTTCCACTTTTTCTTTTTCTCTTCGTCGGAAAGAGAAGCAGAGGTTGGAGGGAATGGAGTATGGAAAGAGTTGGCAAAAGAGAGAGAGAGAGAGTTTTAAAGTTTTATCGAAAAGGTCGTTGAGGATAACACGCACATAGTTTTTTGAAGAGAAAGCTCGCTTTTGAGCTTTTATTCCACACTCGAAATCTTCACGCTCAAAATCTCGTGAAATATAACTCGATATCGAGAATGGGAACTGGGAAGTAGTGAAAGAAGTAGTGGAAGCGGGGAAGGAGTGAGAGTGGATGGGTGGTGGTAGTCCTTGTTTATTTTATTCTTGAATCGTCTAGACGTGATTTATTTCTTGGTATTCTACTTTTCCATGATTTATATCTACGTGAAAGCTCGCGAACTAACGTTTTCTATTCTTCTTTCAATCGCTTTTCTTGTTCCATCTTTCTTTAGATATTTCTCTCACTCTCTCCCATACTCTCTCTGATTTTCTTCGCTGGTAGTATGAAATTCAGGAGAGTGAATTCTTCGTGGACGGGTAGATCCATCAGGATCCTCCTAATCTGCCTAGAGTCAATCTTCCCGTCATTTCTTTGCGTTATCACGAGCGTTCGTGACGTTACCTTGCTCGATCGGATTTTCTTCGTGCATCGTTCATAGATTATTCTTAAAGAATAATTATTTTTCTTTCTTTTTCATATATAAGAAAGTTTTCAGAAAAATATTATATTTCTATGGGGGATTTTTTGTTTTTAAATATTTTTTAAAGTAACAAAAATGTCGGGTTTAAATGTTCCGTTAATAGTTTCGTTATTACTGATAAAGATAAAATATATATCCATTTAGAAAATATTCGTGCCTATTTAATGAAAAAGAAATAAATAATTTATAAATTTTTGGAAACGATACGAATAGAAGAAGACGATAGAAGAAGAAAAAAAAACAATATAATAAATATATATGTAAGTATTAGAAAGAATGAAGAAAGAAAACAAGCTTTCTCGAAAATAGCTTTTTCGTAAAATCGAAGGGAAAATAGGATCGTAGCGTCTAAATCGGCAAGGAGAAAAATAAATTTGCGGGAAGTAAGATGGGGGGAAAGGAAGAAGGGGTAGTTTAGGTGGATAAAACGAAACACATAGAGAAGGAAAAGGTGCGATTTTGGGGCACGAGAAAAAACTCGTGGGAAGAAAGAGCTAGAGATTCCAATCAGGATATATCGACGCATATTTTACTACGTAACTTCGATATTCCACTATAAAAGCTCGCACCACTTTTCTTTCTATTTTCTTATTTTACGTTTTCACGTGTTTGCGACTATTTTTCTCTTTTTTTTTCTCTTTTTTTTTTTTCTTTTTACATTTTATCAAATATTTTTTCGTTCGCATCGTCAGATCATTATATTTCTTTTCTTTTTATTTGAATTTTATTTTATTTTACACGGTCAATATTAGTCAAACATTTTATTATGATTCTTATTACAAATCACAATTCACGGTGTTGGAAAATTTATCGAATACATTTTTCCGTTCAATGAATGTTAAATATATTTTTTTTTCCTTTTCTTTTTTTTTTTAACGCTGGGACTAATCAATGCCTCAGAGAAAAATATAAAAGAGACGCGATGAAGAAATTATCTTTGGTGATGAAAAAACCTTATTCTCTTTTTCCCTCAGTGTATCTCTAATTTTCTTTATCATGCGGTAACTTGCAAGCTTGTTTTTCCGTGTTTTTACAAGACGGCGAAAGGTAACAAGAAATAAAAAAGAATAGCTGCATAAAACAATATTACCTAACTTTGTTTTCTTGCGACATTTTTTTCTTTTTCATAATAATACCGTAGTATTTTTTTTTTCTTTTTTTTTCTTTTCATAACAAAAATAAATTCAAATCAATTTGATACAAGTCACGTCGAATTATTATTTCCCGTCAGATCACTAAATTCAAGCAACGTGGGTACGGTTAGTAAAAAAATAGATGGGTGATCCGTTCGGAGTAATAAAAAAACACCGGTGTACTTGTTGACTTCAGAGAAAGGTGATAAAAAGATGCAACTTCCTTAAATAATATTGGATAGATGTGAGAAAGTATTTCGTAGAAAAGTATGACTCGAACCCATAAAAAGAAGAATGAAAAAGATATAAAATTAAATACAATTTCTATCAATTATTTTCATATCTAAATAAATAAGAAATAAATAATAAGAAAAAAGAGAAGGAAAACACTTTGATTTAAGTTTTTACTCATCCCAAAATGTTGATCTTAAACGTTCGAAACTTAAAATGTCAAATTTCAAAATGAAGTAGGTAGTAAACCTAAGTCAATCGTATAACGATATACAATGATTTAACAAAATAAGTAAGGGTCAAAGTATGATGTTAGGAATAGAAAGTGATAAGAAGAGAAGGAATAGATGAAACCGAAAGGGTTTAGCTACACATAAGAGGAGGAGGAGTAGGAGGGAGGAAGGAGAAGGTTACCTGCCTGTCAGGATACAAGTACAAGCAAGCAAGCAAGCAAGCAAGCAGGAACGTAGGCAGGTACACGAACGCGAATTAGCGTTAATTCACCTTCGTTAGGCGGGTATCTCCTCATTTGCAGGAGACTTAATTAATTTGGTTATCTGAGCGCTCTCGAGAAAGCTCCAAATTCCAACTGCGTTTACGAGTGTCGCGTGAGCTTGTGTTTGAGAATACGCATTGCGCATAATCAAGCTGGAACTTCGACTCCGGCCAAAGAGAAAGAGAAATAGAAAGAGAAAGAGAAAGATAGAGATGGAGATAGGGATAAAGATAGAGAGTATGGGAATTGTATATACTTCGCGAGAGAACCAACACATAACGATTCCAACATCTCTCCTATTTTCCTTCGAAACAATTCGAAGCCGAAGACAACCGGGAGCATTTTCCGTGATAAACAACCCTTACGTGCTCGGCATCCTACTTAGTTGTTTGTATTCGAGATGAGCCTTATTTTTTTCTTTATTTTTGTTTTTTTTGTGTCCCTTTTTTATTATTTTATTTTTTCGATAACACTGCAATTTCATTAATTTCAATGTTTACGAATAATTAAGAAAAGGAGAGAGAGAGAGAGAGAGAGAGAAAGTTTGTGCATGTGTGTATGACTGACAATAAGTAAGAAAAAGATGGCGTAATATTTTGCTATTCTAAATCATCGAAATTAATTGTAATATTGTTTATTTTTTTCTTTTTCAATTTTTATCTCATCTTTCTTTTATTTTCGTTATTGAAAGAATTATACTTGTTAATTATATTTTAATACGTTAAGATTGAATTTATTTCGGTTATAACGAGTGCACGAATGAGCTATGAAAAAGACATATAGGTAATATCATGGTCTCACGAACAATAATTTCGTAATCTTCTAAAAGATAATTCATTTTCTTTATTCGATTTATATATCTCGGAGAAAAAGTTCGGGACAATCTTTGAAATCTCCGAATGTTCCTTTTGTAACTCTTACCAAAGCCAAAAACTAATTTTCACGAGAGAACACAAGAATATAAGTACGATAAGCTTTTCCTCATGGTCTTTTGTGTATAAGTGTATGCGTCGCGCGCGCGTGTGTGTGTGTGTGTGCGTGTTCTTCTTATGTGTCTCCTTACGAGAAAAAGAAAAGAACATTTTTGTGATCACGTTCGGTCCGACGAAAAATACTCTTTTTCTTCTTCTTCTTCTTTTTTCTTTTTTTCTTTCTTTCTTTCTTGCTTGCTTCGTAAACGTGCACGAAATTCTAAATGAAAAGATTCGTGCAGCACGCTTGCGCACGCGCGTTTTTTCACCACCATGAACAAATACCAAGAAGGACGGACGGTTGTATATGTTGTGTTGGATGGCCTTCAGAAAAGAATTCTTGCCATCTTCCTAGAGATCGTTTCGTTTAGTTTTTTGCCGAAGGATAAGGCTAATCGAAATACCGTTTCGTACGTGAGTTCGGCACCATGACGGTTTTGCTTAGATATTTTCTCTCTTTATTTCTTTCTCTCTTTTTTTTTTTTTTATTTTTTTATTTTTGTTTTTATTTTTCTCTCTCTAGCATCTGAAACGAAAAACCGAATGACTTTTCCCGATAGGAAACTTTTTGAATGCTCTTTGTTCTATCTTACAGTCTTTTCAGTTTCCTTCCTCTCATTCCTTTCCCCCTTTTCTTTTTCTCCTTCTCTCTCTTCTTTTTGTTTTGATTTTTGTTTTTTTTTCTTTCGTTTTTTACTCTTTCATTCTTTCCTCGTTCTTTACGTATTCCCCGGACGAGTTTCGATTTTTAAGACAAGTAGGAGATCCCACGGAAAAATACAATGTGTTAGAATCCCTTCGGGATTACTTTTTTTTTTTTTCAATTTATTGTCTCTTTGGTTTTCCCTTTTCTTTTTCCTCCCCTTTAGTTTTTTTTTCATTTTACTCTTTCTCTTTATTTTCGACAGTTACATCGTGGGAGGTGGATGTAAGAATTGTAAAACAATTCGATCGTACGAGATACGTTTCGTTAATTTAGTTTCAAATTTAGGGCAAAGATACTTGTTTTTTTTTTCCTTTTTAGAATCTCGATTACAGACTACACTTTATTATCGTCTCTATTAATTTTTGATTAAAAATTCTTTTTCTCGGACGTATAATGAACACAAAAAGGAAAGGAAGAGAAGACATAAAGCAGAAACGATAATGAAAATCGTTCGTACAAGATTTACGTTCACTTTCCAGATACAAAAGTCATTTCGATGCTGTCGCCCCTTACGTCGAATTCGAAATTTCTTCTTATTTCCTTCCTCTTTCTTTCTCCTTTTCTCTTTTAATACTTTTATCCCTTTCTACTAAAGAAGTAGGAGAAAAAGTTTGATCGTTCCTTGGGCCAAGTTGTACCACCGACTCTTTCTCCTTCTCTCTCTCTCTCTTTCTCATTCACTCATTCATTCTATTTCTGTCTCTTTTATTTTTCTTCCTTCTCTTTCTGGTCCTTTTCCTTCGATTCCACAAAACTTTTCTATAATCCCGTCACGCGCAACGCGGCTACGCGCGATAATAGCGTCACCTCGATTCTCGTTCCCCAACAGTCGAAGCTCATCTCGTCTTCCCTTTCGTTTCCCCCTTCGAAAAGAAGAAAAAAAAAGAAAAAAAAAACCAACGGAGGGAATTAATCGCAACGAATTCACCAGTTCTCCTTCACCTTCTTCTTCTTATTTTTATTCTTATTCTTGAATCTCTCAGTCGGCGCGTTAATTTATTCCCGCCCCTAAAAAGAAAAAGAAAAAGAAAAAAGAAAAGAGAAATTCTTTAACGGAAACTGCTAATGCGCGAACGTAATTTTACATGCGTAAGATTCGATGGTATAATGTATTTAACAAATATTTTCAATTTAGCAAACAACAAAATGTATAACCGAGTTTCAACGAGATTATTGATTCCACGAAGGGACTAGATAGAAGTAATGTCAAACTCGTGACATGAAAACTAAATACATACTGTTGGATAGAGTGCCATTATCGATGGTGGTCTGACTAGAATTGAAAAATATTAATGATAAATCAAATATTTAAGCTTACCTTTAGAATTTTATAAAGAGAAGTTTGTCAGATTTTTACTGGAATTGTTGTTTTATTTTTATTTTTCGTTCTGATTTGCTATCATTCCTACAACACCTTTATAACGATACAACACTTTGCCATATTTATTGTTAAATATTAATTCGATAAAAATGTTGAAATCGTTTAATATTATTTGAAAAATATTGTGACAGGAAAGCACATTAGAAAGCACCCCTTGATATAATTCTACTCAATATTTAACTTATGCGACTTGTAATTACATTATCCTGTGTAACGCAACTATCTTAGCTTCTCGACAACGCATATTCTGATAACGGGTTAGGGGGGTAGGATAGGTGTGGAAGGAAGGGATGAAAAAATGGTAGCGTGGAAAGATCGTGAAAACCATAAGAAAAGTTTGAACGATTTGAAAAAAGAAGCCTCGGTTACAACATCACGAACATTCCCGATCGTAACTTCGATCGGAACCAACGCGATATTTTCATCGCGTTATTTTACGCAAAATCGTGGCACGGTGCCCCGACCCACATGGGCAGGATTCCAAATCCTCTTTGGCCGAGAACTATTATGTATAGTCGAGAAACTTCTGGCTAGGGAGCATCCGAAAGTCTCGTGAAAAACGAACGATTATGGACCACCGGCAAATAGCTTCGACGATAAACCCGTCATTTTCCTCTCGGGCAATCGGATTCTTAGAAAATAAAGAAGAAAAAGAAAAGGAAGTGAAAGAGTTAAGAAAGATAGAAAGAGAGGTGAGAAAGGGGAAGAAGAAAATGACAGAAAGAAGAATAAGAAAAAGCGAGAGAAATAAAATAAATGATGAAAGAGAAATAATGTGAGAGAAGTGAGAATGAAAAAGTAAATGAAATGAATGAGAGAAAGAATGAGCGGGGAAAGAAAATTATAGAGAAACGAGAAAGAGGTGGAAAGTTAAAGAGAGAAAGAGAGAGAGAGAAGAATGAGAAACAGAAATTGTGAGAGAAAGTATGATAAGAAGAGAGAGTGGAAGAGAAATTGAGAAAGAGAGGAAATGAAAGAAAGAAAGAGAGAAGGAAAGAGAGAGAGAGAGAGAGAGAGAGAGAGAAAGAGAGAGAGAGAGAGAGAGAGAGAGATCCTTTCGAACATCCTCATCCTTATCCTGGTTCTCTCTGATACGCTTCAGAGGAGTGGAAGGAGCCAGTTCGGTATCCCTTTGCTCGCTCGCTCGCGAATAATGCATTCGTTCGAGCCAGCGGAAGACTTTATGTCGTCGCGACGACGTCTTCCATCCGGGAAAATGGCTCGCAATTTCGATATGAGACGAGTTGCCTTCGGTAGGACGTTTTCTACGCGTGCACCCACCATCATTCCTATTACAAATCCAATACCCAACGCGCCTTTGCCGATTTCTCTTCTTCTTCTTCTTCTTCTTCTTCTTCTTCTTCTTCTTCTTCTTCTTCTTCTTCTTCTTCTTCTTCTTCTTCTTCCTATTCCTATTCTTATTCTTATTCTTATTTTTATTTCATGTCTCTTTTTTTTCCCTAGAATTTTCTTTGAACAATATGAACACCTCTTTAATGGTTTATTTCGCAATCGGTCAAATGATCACTATTTAAATCAATTTTGTATTATCTTTCATATTATTATTATTGTTGAATTATTTTATAGGTATAATAATAAAATCTCTCTTTTTGAAATTTTTTTGGATAAATTTGTTGATGCGATTTAATGAAATTTTTAAAACGTTTCTCTTGCTGACAAGCAATATTGTATCACGTGTTGTCTATTAACAGACAGGCAGGCAGGCAACATCTCGTTTGCTTGTAAGCAAAATTATATCGACGATGTATAAAGCCTATTATTCTCCCGTAAACGATAACAAGAAGAAGAACAAAATCGATAAGAATAAAAAAGTTCGTCGATTAAAACGATAATCTTGAATATAAATTATTAATACATATTTAACATATACATCTTTTTTTTTTTTTTTGGTTTTGCATTCTCATCGATTTTTTATTCAACAAATTTATTCAACGAAACAGTATGGCGATTTGAAATTATAAACAATAATAGTCCCTTTTTTCAATATACCTAATATTAGAACGAGTCTAATTTGAAAACGGGGATGGATCGAAAACGTGGCGTGAATGACAAGATACCAACATCAAAGATGGTTGCTCACGTTCGAGGACTCGGTCTGTTTAGATCTGCTTTGAACAATCAACCGATATACGAGCTCGAGACGCATTGTATTACAATGGTAGTACAAAGGAAGAAGAAAGGCCGGTGGTTGTGGGTGTCTTGATGATAGAGAAAGATCATACACATATAGCAAGATAGATAGAGAAAGAAAGATAAAGTGAGAAGGGAAAGTGAGTGACTGAGTAAGAAAGAGTGAAAGAGATAGAGAAAGAGAAAGAGAAAGAAAGATAGATAGATAGAGAGAGAAAGAGAGAAGGAGAGAAAGAGAGAATGTAGCTACCAACGTGTATTCGCTGACAGTGGCGATATTCCCAGTGGAGAAAACTCAACGATGAGGAGAGGGTGTACCATCTATGGCAAACGAGGGAAGGAAATTGCTTCTTGAGTCGACGTGTTAAATTCCTCGCCTCTTGGAACTTGTATTACGCCAAAGTACGAACGCAAGCAGGATTTTCTCTCTCTCTCTTTCTCTCTCTTTCTCTCACACTCACTCACTCACTCACTCTCTCTCTCTTTTCTATTCTCTACCTTGCCGTTATTGTATCGATATGAGTCCGTAATCGGTGAATTCTGTTACTATGGTTTGTTTGTGCTTTTGTAATGCATTACACAGAGTTATTGAATTCGGATTATGCAACTACACGTCACACGAATATAATATCATTGTAATATATTTTTCTTTAATGTATCACAATCGTTGTCCATTTTCCTTGTGTTGCGTTGTAGGTTTCTTTTAGTTTCTTTTCTTTTCTTTTTCTTTTTTTCTTTTTTTTTTTCTCTTTCTACAACTAGATTGGTAATATTTTTAAAGGTAGAGAAGGAGGAAATAAAGGAAACAAATCGCGGAGACTTTCTTTTTCGTATTACTATTGCATCGATACGATACAATACGATGCGATGCGATGCGATATGCATGCAGTCACAGTGCATATGTATGTTCTTTCGTTCTTCTTCTTCTTCTATTCCCAGAGTAGCTACGATACAAGTTCTACTACTTTGTGCTTTTGCTATTGGTACTATATTGAAAACATGTATCGGTGTTCTTGTTGATAGGCCAACAACTCGTCTCTTGCTTTTACCTACTCCCAAACCAATCTTTCCTGGACACGTTCACATTCGTTTCATATAAAGAAAAATATTTTCTCTCTCTCTCTCTCTCTCTCTCTATATATATATATATATATATATTGTTTTTATATATAAATAATCTGAATGTATATCTGCGCACTTTCTGGTAATCGGATTTAACGCTTGTCTCTTTTCTTTTCAAAAACTATTCGACGATCGGAAAATAGAAAATCTAGATGAAATAAAGCCAATCGGATTTATTCTACATATCCAGTGATTTTCAAATCGAAAAAACAATCCAACCAATCGATTCCACGCGTGCACGTGATAGAATGTCGGTGATTAGAATTAAATTTTGATAATATTGGAAAAAAATGGAATATTTATTTTTATCCCTCGGTCTCCTCGTTCGATCGATCTCTTTCTTTTTTTTTTTTGATTATTCACGTTGAAGGTAAAACAAACTTAACTTAAAGAACGATTAAATTTATTCTATAGTGAAACAAATGAGATCTAAATTTTTCATTCGGTTTATATCAACGATATAATTATTTTCTTTACTTGGAATAATTTCAATTGAAAAAGAAATTCGTCGTACGAACGCACAAAATATGAACTTATAATAAATAAAATAAATAACATAAATTAAAATCTCTTGACGCGATACTTTTTTTTTTCTTAACTATCAAAAGAGATAAAAATGAACATAGAAATTTTTGCGAAATTTCTATCTCTCCCTGTATGTTTTTTTCTTTAATAAAGGGTATAACATATATTTTTCATGGACCACTAAAAATGCGTAAAAGTTTGAAAAATAAGTCAATAGTTGCACATAATTGTGCTTTGAGTCCTTGTATAAGAGATGGGAGACATTTTAGAAAGTTCGTGAAGTATTTCTCAGAATTTCTCGTTATAAACCTGCTCCTAGATCGTTCGCTGAGAGAGTGTGGTAGGAAATTGGTGACACTATGGCAGTCGTTATTAGTATTCGATATTCCGAGGTCATAAACGTGCAGACAGAGTTCTCTCAAGTTTCTCTCACGCTTTATCATCATCTCCTTCTCTCCTTTCTCTCACCCCCATATCTCCTATTTATTATCTTACTCTCTTGCTCTCTTTCTCTTTCTCCCTAAATATATATATATATATATATTCCTTGTGCACTTGGATGCAACATAGAAACGTAACTGCTCTTAACCGCGTTTCCTCGTTTCTATCTATACGATCTATGCCGCACGCATGCATTAGTGTGCACGCGCGCGCGCGGCTGCTTGCTATTTCGCATTAATGCGGTTTGACGTTAATTCGAGCGGGTTTAGGAAGTTGCTCCGTAAATTTCAGGATGTCCCTACCGGATGCGACGTATTCTACGACTCCGTCTATCTCCATGCTAAATGGAGCCACGCGAAAGCTTTTATCAAAACTTACCCCTTTACGTGTGTTGGATTTGCCTACGAGTTTTCTAAATCTCTAACTTGAATATATTATTGTTATATTACTCGTAATTATATATCATTTATATTTTACTTTCATTATTATTATCGTTATATTTTAATAATAATTCGTGTAAATTTTCTTTTTCTTTTTTATATATTATTCAACATAATTTCATTCAATTTAATTATAATATTTTCAATAAAATAATCACAGTTTGAACAAACGAATAACGAGAAAATAACAATTTCAAGAGTAATCTGTTACTAACGTTAACTTGATCGATAATATAAATCTTGTAAATGTATCGAAGTAGACATTTTTCTTAAGGATAATAGAAAATAGAAGGAATATATCATTCCTGATATATTTTCAAGTATATCCTAGTACAACGAGGACACGCAGTGTCGAATTTCAAGAAGAATTTCCGATCTTTTCGATGGATAGCCTCTATAACATGACATAAGTATGCACTTTCGATGTAGGAACTGAGAAAAGAAAGAAAGAGATATATATATATATATATATATAGAGAGAGAGAGAGAGAAAAGTTGTAGTATTCGAGATTTTCGTTAGTCGGTCATGTTTCGAAAAAGAAAGGAAGGAAGGAAGGAAGTAAGGAAGCAAGTGAGAAAGGAAAAGGGAAATTGGAAAGGAAGAAGAGTAGATGAAAGACACACATACACACATCTCTACATACATATACTGGGTGTTTCATTTTTATTCTGTCAAATTGTGTTGGAATATGTAAATGTGTAAAAAAATATTGTATAAAAGATAGAATTGTAAATATTTGATGGCTAAGTTATAACAGAGATATTTAAATTATAAATAAATAAATATATATATGAGTATATATACATTTAAAGGGTGTCAGAACATTCTACGCTTGTTAATAATAAAAAAGAAGAAAGAAAAGAAAAAAGAAAGGGAATAAAAATATTTTATAAAAATATGGTTGTAAATATTTTATCAGAAAATTATAACAGGGATATTTAAATTATGAAGGCACTGGAAGGCACGTATAAATATGCATATACTATACATATAAAGGATGCCAGCATATTATATGAATTTACATAAAAAAAACAAGCCAAAAAATAAACAAATAAATAAATTAGAAAATTTATCTTAAATTTACAAAATAAAATATTAAAACAAAATTTGTCCTACATAATTAAATCTCACAAAAGTCTGTTTTATACTTCAATCAATAATAAACCAAATCAATACACTTATCATTTAACTATTTTCCATACAATTTTACATTTTATTTTATTTTTTTATTTATTGTCGTTTGAAACGTTTGACGAGAATAAAAAATGAAAGGCCCTGTATATCAACACGCTTGATATATATCTACCATCTCGTACAATCTCCGAGATTCTTTATCTTTTTCTCTGGAAGCGGAGAAGGTTTCGCAGGCTGTTTCGAAAGAAATCGTGGCAAGTTGACTGAAACAACAATGGTATCGGAGGCAAAGTATTACCAACCGATTCCATCACGAAGTCTTATTCTCTCCTTCTTACACCCACTTCTTCGATGGCCCTTTCGATCTCTTTCTTACGACCGTTTTGAGATCACCTTAGAATCTTTCTTTTTCCATCTCCTTTTCTTTATTTCTTTCTTTCTCTTTTTCTCTTTTTATTTCTTTTTTTTTTTCTTTTCGTCCATGCATAGATCCCTCGCCTAAGAATAACATTCCTTTTCGAGAGTTGGTAAAGAAAAGTCTCGAGGTACGAAGTAAAAGCTCTTCTTAAGTATACTACACACAGAAAGCTCTATGTCCCTTTATCTCCCTTTTCCCCCCCGAACAATCCTCCCTCCCACCCTTACCCCACTCTTTTTTCTTTCGCGTGCGAATTTTTTACTTTGTCAATTCGTTTTTTCTTCCCTTCTCTTTTTATTTTTTCGTGGGGTGCGCGTGTTTCTTTTTCCTTATATTTTTTTATTTTTTTTTTTTATTTTTATTTCCTTCGCGTTAGAGATTGGCCCGATTTTAATTTTCTTTTCTTGTTTTCTTCTTCTTCTTCTTCTTCTTCTTCTATTTATTTGTTTATTCAATTTTATTATTTTTTTTTTTTTTTTACATTTGGCGCAGGCTTTTTGTTGTCGTTGAATTTTTTTTCTCGTTTTGGTATTGCGATATAAAATTATTAACGTAAGTATTAAACGTATATCATTGGTTGGAACAATTTTGCGATAGAAATTTAAACAAATGTTGGTAATATTTAATATTAATTATTATATTCTAAGGATCGTTATTTTTGTACGAATCTGCTAGAACAAATTTCGATAAGTTGAAATCAGAGAAATGTCCTTAAATTTTTATTATTAAAAATCTTCATTATTTCTTGCCACCAATCTAAATATATATCATATAAATCGATTATGTTTCGTCGTTTATTTAAAAAAACAAACAAAATTATAATTATTTTTGCATCATTTTCTATCTATCATCAATCGAATTTAATACTATTTTTGTTTTCTCTAGAAATTTTAAATTTTGTCGTAAACACGTAGCAACTGAATACGACAAAGTTCGATTGTTTTATCCTCCTACATTTACTTCTTTTTTCTTGTCCTTATTTCAAGTACTTTGTCAGTTTAAAAGAGGTACTACTATCTTCTTACCTTTCTTCTTCTCCTTCTCCTTTTTCTTCTTCTTCTTCTTCTTTTTGTCGTCTTTACT